ACACTATCGATGTGTTGATCCCAACTTAATGTTTCATCCAAAATTGTTCCTAAAAATTTAACTTCGTTTGCTGCATTGATATTGATATTATCGCACTGAGCTAATTCACTTATGGTACCCCTACTTCTATTATAAAATCTCATCGATACCGACTTTGAGGTATTCAGAACTAGACGATTACGATCACACCAGCTTGTGAACTGGTCTATAATCAGTCTAACTTTTGTTAGCAAATCATCTGTAGTAGGTCCAGCGACTGTAATGGTGGTGTCGTCAGCGAACATAGTTAAATAGCAATCACTCATATATTCCGACAGATCATTGACAAAAATTAAAAACAATAGGGGACCAAGAACAGAGCCTTGGGGAACCCCCAATCTAACCTCGCGTTCATTAGACATTGAATTTATTTGCTTTACAATTATGCTACGACCACTCAAGTAAGACTTAAACCATAGTACTATGTTATTAGGCAAACCAAGCACACTTAATTTGGTCAACACAAAATTAGTTGATACCGTGTCAAAAGCTTTTGACAGGTCAAAAAACACACTGATAATAAAATCATTTTTATCAAGTTTTTCATAAATATGACTGAGAAAACAATAGCTAGCTGTTTCAATAGAATGATTTTTCCTAAAACCGTGTTGGCAGTTTGATAGCAGGGTATTACTTTCCAGATAGCTCATAATTCTGCTAGCCACTAATTTCTCATATAGTTTGGAAAGTTCACAAAGCAGAGAAATTTGTCTGTAATTATCTATTTCGTCTCTACTACCTTTTTTAAACAACGGTATAATTAGAGCTTTTTTGAATTCATCCGGAAAATATCCTTGGATGAATGATTGATTGAAAAGATAAGTGAGTGGGTCGATTATAGCATCTATTATGCTCTTAATAGTACTCATAGATAGATCATCAACGCCTGATGACTTTTTATTTTTCATTAATTTTAGGGTATCATGTATCTCACGTTTAGTTATCGGACTGTCTTCGTATGGATAGAGAATATTAAGCTTAGTACTTGTAGTGCAAGTAACAGTTCCCCTGTTAAATTTAGAGCAATAAATAGACGTCCTTCAATATGATTTCCCAGTATTCCTGTCCTAACGGTAATTTTTTTCTGGATATTGGGTATGTGTTTCCCAGAAAACGTGAATGTTGGTGTCACTCCAGTAACGGCAGTTTTGTCTGTGAACTGAATTGCCGTTTGGAAAAAATGTACATTCGTCACCAGAACAAATATTGTGGAGGTAAGTAGAATGCCTTGCAATGGTTTCCGTCATGATTTCGCAGAACTCTGTCCTTCTATCAGGGTCATCTTCAGTTAATTGGTGTACCATTTTAAATTTTCATGGATGATACCTATTCCTCTTCAAAAGTCTCCACACAGTAGAAAGAGACACCTCACAAACATTCGCGACGGAAAAGTAGACTGTTCATGATTTACTTCCATCTCACCAATTATTTGCATTTGCTGTTCTTCCCGAATGGACGGATGACCTGGGGGCTTTTTGTTATGTACACTAGGTAGGTAGTTGTGAATTTGGATACAAGTTCCCTCAAATATTTTCCACAGATAGGACGATTCGGAAAACGTTCATTGAAAATCATTTCGGTCTCGTGAGAGTTACGCGTCGCACCGTAAATGAAAATCACTTCAATGTTTTCTTCCAATGGACGAGAATTCATCATTTTAGAGATTGTTGACGTGGTACCTTTCTACTAGTGAAACCCAGAACTAAATGAGAATATTCTAACTGAACAATGATGTTCATTGTCGTACTGTCAGTTTTTGTCGATTTCATAAAAAAAATATTTTAACAAATCTTAACGGGATATTGGAATTGCCATATGGCAGATAAAAAGGAATATTTCTAGAAATATCGATATTAATGTGTTTGTCAGGAAATTATTAAATGTCCCGCCATTTCGTAGTAGGTAAAGATATTGACTTCATATTTTAGGGTTGTGGAGTATTCTTCAGGAGCTTGAAAATGATGTGTCACAATATCCCCGTTTCCATTTAAGTTTTTTTCCCAGATGGCGCCCAGTCGCCATCTTGAAAGTTCCATCTGTCAATTTCACTTCAAAATAAAGTTTTCTGATTGATTCGGCCGTTACTTGATGGAGATCCATAGTAATTTCAAAAACTACACTTCACGATTTGATCTCCACAAACTTTATTTGAGATATATATCACAACATGTTTCGCTAGCACAGTAGATTTTTCAAGTGATTTATAAATCACTTGAAAAGGGGGAGACATTAAAGAAATGCACTGTATGTTAATAATATGCATAGGCATACATTGATTTTCAACAAGTTTCAAAATTTATATTGGGTTTTTAATTGATAAATTACCATTTTTGAATAGATTTTCCATAATTTTCATTATGGGATACATCAGTGATTACTGTGGTTGATTGTAAGAGTAAGAAGAGACTTATAGTATGAGAAATAAGATACATATTATGTTCTCGAATGAAAATTATAAAGATATCTAGATTGTTGTTCCATGTCTTGTTCTAATTGTTCTAATATTTCAGAGGCTACTCGAACGTAAATATGTTCTCGCATCTCTCTCCCTCTCTCTCTCTCTCTTGTCCCTATGGCAATATACGTTATTCTCCCCTTTTTATCTTCACTAACTTATACTATATCTCCCTCTCAACTTTCGTTTGCCTCGCCCAATCACCCTTTTCGTAAAGCTCTCATTACGCATTCACCAGCTTACTCCCGCGTGAAAAAGTTTCACTTCAAAAAGTTGCATATAAAGATTTACCCGATAAAAGACAATAACCTACATAAACCTGACGGTAAGTCAATGACAAGATATGATGCCTTGGATATATTCTAACTACTACCAGCGTTTTTTTTTCTATCAGCTGATTAACGAAAAAACATATTTTTTCAAACAGATCTAAGCAACTAATATACAAAATTGTCTAAATTTTCAGTTGATAGTTTATGGTATTGATATACAGATAATGGGAAAAGCTCCGATATATGATATCGCGAATATGCCAATTCCATTATTCGTTTAGTGATTCGTATTAGAAATCAGTCGAATGAAAAGACTACCACAGAAAATTAAAGTAAATTTTTAGAATCACATTGTTTTTCATTTTTATGTCTGTTGGACATAAAAGTTGTGAAATGTGTGGTGACTATCAAAAAATCTTAGAAATTATTAAAGCAGAATAGTAAATTGTATTTTTTTTCATATTTCAGTAACAGCAACATACAAAGAACCGATAAGTGGTTGGATTGATAACGTATATGGTGCTACTGGTGTATTGCTTGGTGTGGCGATTGGACTTTTGAGAGTATTGAGAGGAGATGCAAATAACTATGCTGATATGGTTCCTGCAGACTATGTAGTTAACTGCAGTTTAGCCACAGCTTGGGAAGTTGCCACCCTCAAGTGAGTAGGAAACTCATGTGTCCAAGCAGATTTTTCATTTGGAAAAGACCAAAACGCATATCATGGAAGGACGACACAATATTCCGAATCAACCGTTTCATATAAATTTTAGCGTTCTGATAGATAAAAAGCATTAGGTTCTTTGATAGAATGGCTGCAGTTTCAACTTGCATTTCATATTGTTATCTGTTCAGTCGTTGCCCTTATGGGAAGTTCTACAGAGTTCATGAGATACAAGATTACGATATCAACAAAAATATTGCAAAATTGTTTTAAAATATGAAAACTAGTGAAAACTTTTTTTTTAATTTAGTATCGATAACTATTCAGATACCTTTTTCAAATTGAATTGAATTATTTTTGGAGAAAATTCACCATTTCGTATGTTTTGATAATGAAAAACATTTATAATCATGGATAAATCGAAAATTATTTGGTTTTTCTATCAAATGGGTTCAGTAGATGAACAATATAAATTTTAGTTCAGATTCAGGAAAAAATGAAACAAAATATGTGCTATATTTGAGTTCATCAAATGTACATTTCAAAAAATACTTTTATTTTCAAACTTACAATATGCCAAAGTGACATATAAACAAGTCGAGTTGATACTCTTTCTTGGCCAAATGAATGACGAGGCTCTTGCGTCTCCAGGTTTCATAGCTACTTCACTTGGACCTTCGTTTTTTTATTTCTGGAATACTGATTCCGTTATAATGCTGATTTGTAGGATACATAGGAATTGAACTGAAACTGTAATTTCTTCATCGTAGTTCTGGGCAAATAACAACCCACCTATTTATGAAAAAGTCGGTGTTAGATATTTGTCCAGTCATTTTAGGTCGATTTAGGCCTGTATTTCGGAAAATTGACATACCCAGCTGTAAATTTATATGAACTTTGTATTTCGCCATCATGGAAATTTTCTCAAAATTAACATATGATTCGACGGCCGCAACTTCAAAAATTGGGGATCAAAAAAAAAACGACTTTTTGCACGTTTTTAGCCAATATCTCGTTTCCAATGGGTTTCATGCTAATTGTATTGATTAATAATATTGTAGAGAATTGAATTCACTACAACTTTTGTTTGAAACATTTTTCATACGTTGGATCGTTTTTGAGATAGAGGGCAGCGCGAGCGCAGATTAAATATTATTTGAAATCAACTGGTTGTCCTGATCGAAATCAGCTCATTTAAGGTTTATAAATTATTACTTAATGAATAATTATGAATAATTTAAATTTTTCAGTAACAAATACATCAACACTAAACAGGCCAGAGATGATGCGGATGTTCTCATCATTGAGACAGCTATTGAAGAATCTAAACGTCAAAGAAAAGCAATAAATTATAGTCGGTGAAGGTATTGATTTACTTGTGATTTCAATTGGGCGTACACTATCTCTTGAACAAAAAATTTTCTTTAAAAAAGTTGGCAAAGCAAATGTGAAAACGGAAATATACTCCTCTAAGAGTTTCCACAAATATTCAAGTTCTAAAAAACATATTTTGTTCCTTCACACTTCAAGCGGCTGTAATACGAGTTCTGCGCTCTTTAAAAAAGGAAAAAAAAACGTTTTCAAGAACATTTGAGAAACTATCTAATTTGGATGAACTTGCCGCAGCATTTGAAGAAGAAAACTGACCTGTTCAAAGATTATTCGATAGTGGAATGCAAACTTTATTAGCTGTATATAATGCTCCAAAGTCTGTAAAAACTATCGATCATCTTCGTTATGCACAATATGTCAAGCTGACAAAGCTCAATAAACCTGTGCAGTTATCAAATATTCCACCAACAAGTGGAGCAGCTCACTAACATTTTAATCTTGTTTATTACCAAGTTCACACTTGGTTAGGAAATGATTTGGAACCCCAGGAATGGGGTTGGACAATGCGTAACGGATTGCTAGAACCTATCATGACTATTTTACCACCTGCTCCAGATGAGTTACTCAATACGATATTCTGTAACTACAAAAGTGGTTGTGGTTCAAGATGTGGATGCAGGAAAGCGGGATTGCAATGCTCTTTATCTTGTGGCCAGTGTAATGGGCAAACTTGTCTCAATGTTGTACCATATGAGACCGATGTTAACGAAGATAGGCCCTTTGATCCAGAAATCATGGAACAATTGGAAACGAATCTGGGTGAAGATGAACATGATAACACGGTACTTTTACTAGGAATAGTGGCAGTACCTTTCTATATTTCCTGGAGGTCATCCTGTGACACTCTATTATTGTGAATCCTTGTTTCGCCAAGTCGTTGGCGACGTCCGCTGGCTCTACATTCTCTGGAATGCCTCGGATGACCGCGTGCAGCGGGATTTCTTTTTTAATCGAATATGTGTGGAAGTCCAGGTTTCCTGCTTCCAGAAATTTGGTGGCTTTTCGCCACTCAGTTTCGCTATTAGTGTATAGATATATACCGTCTCTCGTTAATCTGGCTTTGTTATAGCCGATTTTTTTGTCCGCCAGGTTTTGGGAGATCATACTCCATTTTTTGGAATCGTGGATAACGATCGGTGGTGGTTTTGTTGGATCTTCGCCTGTTGGCGTATTCGAATCCGTATTCGAATTTGTGTTGGTTTGTCTAGTTGTGTCCTCACTTGGTCTGTGGGTTGGCCAGACTGGGACCTCAGTTGTTTCTCTTTCTCCGGTTGGTACGATTGTTGGTACGTTCCCAGTAATGGGCGTCGCTTCCGAGTTTACTGTTTCTTCAGTCTCCATTTCCTCCGGCTTCTTTTCCAGTACAATAAGCCGCGAGGTTCTCTTCCTTGCTTTTCTTGCCTTCCTCGTTTCCGCTTTTTCGAAGCCGTCTTCTGTTTCAGTGTCGGTAGTGTTTTCAGGCTTTCTTTGCCTTTTCTGGGAGGCTTCTTTTTCCGTTTCCTTGATGGCGGCGGTGTCTATTTTCTTGTCTTTTTCTTCTTGTTGGTTTTTCTTGTCATTTTTTTCCGGTTTTGCTGGGGCTTTGCCTTTAGTTTCCTCCTTGTTTTTCTCCTGCAACTTTTCGGCAGGTTTTGTCCTATCTTCTAGCCTTCTCCTGAGGGCTGCGTTTTCGGCCAATATTTGGTCGAACTTCTTGTTCATATCAGCCATTTGGCTGACCAGTTTGTCCAGTGTATCTCGAAGTTTTGCATTATCTTCTTTCAGAGCTTTGTTTTCAGCTTCCATTTTTACGGTCTGTGTGGAGTAAACTTCCTGAAAATAATTGGATTAAATTCTTATATTTAGTTCTAAGAAGAACTGAATTCTCTTTCTCAGTTCTGACAAGAACTGTTGTTCGTGTGTCTCTTAAACACTTCACAGTTTGCCTCGCTTAGGTAGTCCTTCACAGGTAAACTTTCACTTCTAGTCGATGTTGCCTCTACGAGCTCTCGATGGGACATATTCCTTCGAGATCTGACTATTTATAGGTCATTCGAATACTTTTACCTATCCCCTCTTCCCTCTCTCCGCTTCATCGGTTTTAGCGGTAGCTGACTGTTTGGCTTCGTGTTCCGCTTGATTAGAGGTTTCCATATGTTGCGTATCTCTACGCTAGCTTGGCTAAATGCGTTGTTGGACAACATATGCGGCTTCTTTGAATTATCTCCTAAACCAGTGTTCCTCCATGTGGATGATTTCAGCCTGAGCCCACTTGATATTATGTTGATGAGTGCAAACATGCTCTGCTTTTCCCGATTTGCTGGTTTCTCCTCGCTGTGTGTGCTTCTTGTGCTCGGCAATGCAAACTTTCAATGGCCTCTTAGTTTCACCGATGTATGATTCTCCGCACTCGCAGGGTATACTGTAAATGCAATTCTTGAAATCGCAGTCCACGTTTGGTGGCCTGGTTTTTGTGAGGCTGCTACGGATAGTGTTCCCAGATCTGAAGCAGGTTCTGATGTTATAGTTGGACCCAATTCTTCCTATACTTTCCGACAATCCTCTAATGTATAGAAGTACAAGTACTGGTTGTGGCGGCTTCTCTTCCTTATGGATCTCTTGCTGTCTTCTAGCTAAAGCCTGTTCCACCATCACTGATGGACTTTCAGTTTGTGCGATTAAAAATAAATTTGATGTGTTGATGAAGTATTGATTTTTGGCGAAAAAGATACTGTTGAAGCCAAGGATTGGCTTGATAAACATTATTCGGACTTTGCACCAGGGAAATTAATCATTGAGAAGTGGTTTGCTAGGTTTAAATGAGGACGATGCACGCAAGGGACTCCCCAAAGAGACTGTTACCGACGAAAACATCAAAAAGTCCACAGAATAATTTTGGACGACCGCGAAGTGAAGTTGATTGAAATAGCTGAGGCTGTAAATATATCAAATGAAAGTGTTCGACATATCGTGTAGGAATATATTGGGTATGCGAACACTGTGTCAAAATTGGTATCTTGCAAGCTCACAATTGAGCTCCTGATCGAATTGATGATTCTGAGCAGTGTTTGAAGCTGTTTTATACTTAAAAACCCGAATTCATACAATGATATGTTGCAATGTACGATGCGCGATGAGGGATGCGCATATTCATCTACTATCTTGAAGAAAAAACCATCAACACCGTTTGAAGAACAAAATCGCAAAAACGGCCCCATTTGGAGAAAAAGAAAGTGCTGTTCCATCAAGACTGTCATAAATCAATGAAAACGATGGCAAAGTTGCATGAATTGGGCCTAAAATTGCTTCCGCATCCACTGTATTCTCTAGATCTGGCCCGCAGCGACTTTTTACCGATTAGCGCCGAAGAAGAGGTAATCGTCGAAACTGAGGCCTATTTGGAGGCTGAAGACAAATCGTATATTAAAAAATAGCATCGAAAAATTGTATAACCGTTCTAAGCGTTGATTCGCCTTTGAAGGCAATTATGTTGAATAATAAAATCAAATTAAAAAAAATGTTTTCTATGTTAGCTTACGAACTTTTCAGCCCAACTCAGATACCTACGAAATACTCACGTTACTGCTATATGTGTCCGATTGTCATTTCTGAAAAACAATCGTTCTGTCAGTTACAAAGTACTCATCCCAAAGTCAGCTCGATTGATCTAAACAGATGAAAAAAATGCGAAAACTATTAAATTTTGGGAACGAGAACCGTTTTTTGGCTTTCACTTTTCCACCTTCATAAAAAAAATGTGGAAAACTTCCAAAGAGGAGAAGAAATCAATTCAGTTTGAAATAAACTCTTCACAAAGATGCGTAGATCATGTATACAACTTACTATCAGATACTTTCACATGAATATTGAATTACGGCAAAAAAATTATCTCTCCTAGAAAATATATCCCTTTCAATTTGATAAAGATTTCTACGATTGGGATAAAATCAAATAAGCATGTCTTCATGTATTTTCATCGTGGCATGAATAGATTTGTCTCATCAGTGAAATGAATTCAAAATGTTATGATTGAAATTAGTGTTTCGTATTATATTATCCAGAATATTATATTATCCAGAACGATTTTATTTTATTTACTTATTGAATTAGGATTCCCTAATATACAGGTTAGCTAATTTAAAATATAATATGATCAACAAAATTTATATAAATAATACAATTTTATATACGTACATGATTTTAACTGAACAAAAAGGAATTTTTCAATTTCCATCATGAATATATTTTAACAGTTCGCTCTTGAAAATCTTTAATGATAGAGTAGATTTAATTGAATCAGGTAAATCATTGAATTGGACAAAACCTTTAAAAAATAAACTGCTCATACTATTTCTTGTATTTGTTCTATTTATATGAATGTGGCTGTTGTGCCTAGTAGAATGGTGATGAATGTCCTTATTGAAAGTTATTAATGAT